TTTATTTATTATTTATTTTATTTATTACTTTTTTTAAAAAAAATTTATTTTATCTATTATTTTATTTATTATTTTGTTTTCTACCACTTCCTCCACCTCTTCCTCACGCGTTTCTCCTTCCAAAGGCGACCCTTCCTTACACGGCGACGTCTGGTCCTGGCTGGAATTCCTCCTCACCTCCATTTTCAGCGCTCTCTGGGTCCTGCCCCTCTTCGTGCTCAGTAAGGTCGTCAACGCCATCTGGTTTCAGGTAGGTGACAGAAAAATCAAACAAATAATTGGGGGAATTTCCTTGTTAAGGCTCGGTTTTGGCGTGAGATGAAATCAGAACGGGCTCTCAGCTCGAAAACATCATCCCAGCGGCTTCTGAATTTAATTTCCCCCTTTTCTGTTTGGAATTTCATTCCCCTCACACCCTTTTTATTTCCTTTTTTTTCTTTTTTTGCAGGACATCGCAGATCTAGCTTTCGAAGTTTCCGGCAGAAAGCCTCACCCCTTTCCCAGCGTCAGTAAAATCATCGCCGACATGTTGTTCAACCTTTTGTTGCAGGCGCTCTTCCTCATCCAGGTGAGATCAGCATCACTCCCCCCAAAAAAAAATCCGCATCCCCTGGGGTGATGTTTTTCCTGATTTTTTTTAAAATTTTTTTTTAATCGCAGGGGATGATCGTGAGCCTGTTCCCCATCGACCTCATCGGCCAGCTCATCAGCCTCCTCCACATGTCGCTGCTTTATTCGCTTTACTGCTTCGAGTACCGCTGGTTTAACAAAGGTGAGGGGGCACATTTTCCCAAATCGAGGATTTCTCACCCCATCGACGTGTCTGAGGACAATTCTTATTCATTTCCGCGGGATTTTCTCCCCGCCAGGCATCGAGATGCACCAACGGTTATCCAACATCGAGCGCAACTGGCCCTATTACTTCGGCTTCGGCTTGCCCCTCGCCTTCCTCACCGCCATGCAGTCCTCCTACATCATCAGGTTAGCCGCTGCCGGGGGGGACGCAGACATTTCCGTCCCTGTCCCCATGTGTCTGTCCCCCCCTTGAGGATTTTTTTATTTTTTACTTTTTTTCCCCTCTTCCAGCGGTTGCCTATTTTCCATCCTTTTCCCTCTCTTCATCATCAGCGCCAACGAAGCCAGGACCCCCGGCAAAACCTAGTGAGTACCCCCCTCATTAAACACCCCCTCCCCCCAAAAAAAACCCCAAACCAAAACAAAAACAACAATTTTCCCCCCCTCCCAGCCACTTCCAGCTCCGGCTCTTCTCCTTGGTGGTTTTCCTCAGCAACAGACTCTTTCACAAGACCGTTTACCTTCAGTCCGCCCT